CACACACACTATCTGGGAGAGATTTATCTCTAAAGGGTTCCTTCTGAAGGCCACTCTTTTGGGACCCCATGGCAACATAAGCACACTTCAAGCTCAGAAACTAAAGTTTTTCTATCTGGAGAAACTTGCCAGCCATCTGCCTGCGAACCAAGTTCACATTTTCAAAGTAGTGCCCCTGCCCAAATCCTCCTGGGACTAAAACCAAGCAGAACAACTAAAATGTTCTAAGCACTATAGACATTAACAAGCCACTTATATCTCATAAAAACTCTGAGGTAGATACTACTATTATCTCCATTTTACAGATACAGAAACTGAGGTCACAGAAGTAGCATGTGATAGAGCCTAGATTTGAACTCATGCTCCAGTGTTCATGCTCTCCTGCCTCCCTAATGGATTTCACACCAGCCAGGACCACAGGCAAAGGATTAGTCACAGCCCTGGATGCCATGGCTTTGCCTCTTGAAAGATCAGAGTTTTTAATGTAACATTCATTTACCCCACAAAGGCCCGTGGAGGTAAAGGGCTGAGTGTTAAGATTCCTTGCAGCTATAGCTTCTGCGACCATTTACCCTCCTGTTAGAACAACAAAATACAGATTCCAGGTCAAAGGATCGTAGGTCGTGGAGAAGGGAAAAAGCATGTGATCATGAGGTCAGACTGTAAATTCCTTGGAAAATGAGAAAAGCTGGGCAGTGACCAGGAGGCCCAGGATCACAGGCTCTCTCCTGGATAGCAGAACTGGAACAGAATGTAGAGACCCAGAAAGGGAGGAATGAAAAGCGAATGGGCAGTGAGAGCAAACAAGGCACAGCCCGGGTGGGGGCTGTGAGTAGACACCACTTGACAGTGATGTAAAAAAGACACCATACTCAATTTGAGTGCAATCTGGTCCTAAAAGCTTATTCCCAACCAGGACTATGTGTGTAGTTCAGACTCTCACAGAGAGAGTGAAAGCAGTTGCCCACATGCCCCTGGGCAGAGCCAACCTTCCCTTCCCGTCCACTGAGCATCACCTCATATTGTAAGATTCACTCCAAAGCCAAGATCAGAACTCAGGTCTTCAAACTCATCTTGGAAGATACTATCTGAAGAGATGTGGAAGCCTAGAGAAGGAGGCAACAGGCAGGCAGCAGCCAAACCCTCAAGCCAGATGCCCATGGCCACCCCATCCTAGGACACCACGTCTCCAATTCCCCTACCTGCTTCCCAGCCGTGACCTCTTCCATCTCTCAACATGAATCAATCCAGTCAATCATCAATCAGTAAATCAGTCTTCTAGAAAACTGTGT